CTGTGAATCCAGAGGAAGAGGAGGAGGCGGAGGAGGATGGAAATCAGGGTTCTGTAAAAGATCAATCAGGGGATTAATATAGAAGTTGAAGAGGGAGGGGGACAGGATGCAACCCTGCCGCACCCCTTTTTGTACCCTTACTGAGCCAGTTAAACTCCCTTGGGGAAATGACCTAGAAGAACAGTTGGCTCTGTGTGCCACCTGTGGCACGCGTGCCAAAGGTTCGCCATCACAGCTATAGTGTATCCATTTACAAAATTCAGACTAACAATATTCTGTTTACTTCAACATTAGAGTTGAAAAATTGAACAAAAGTTGTGTATCAGATATGGCTTAAAATGGTGAAGGAAGAATTTTAACAAAGAGTGAAATAAATTAAACAGCATGGTTATACACTGAAAAAGTAAAGGATTTTTGGTGTTATAGTATTAAAACAATTAGCAACCTATGGTTTTAATTCAAAAGAATTTCAAGAACATAAAGATCTAGATCTAATAAGCAAGTATAGTAATTTAAATCAAATTTTTGTACAAAAACATTTGACAATTTGTAGCTTAAAGTCTAATTATAAATCTTGTTAAATGATAAATCATGTGTTTTAACTGTCTATAAACAAATATCCCAGATACAATTATTCCATCTCTTCTTGGTAGGCATGGAATCACTCCTTTCTGATACTGTGGAAAGTTGCTGTCAGAATGATGATCTGACTAAAAACAAGCTGTGTCCTATAAATTCAATCTATTATTTTAAACTACATTTCCTAAAGGTCATTTGAATGGCTTTGTATTTTTGCTCAGTTCATTATAGTATGAAAAATTGCTATTCATACTGAAATAAGAGATGCATAACACTTGCGATTTTGGAATATATTTTTGTCAAATCTCCTGAGTAAGCAGCAGTATGTTATAAATGCGATACTTATTATCATATCACTAAGTTACATTATATTACCAATGGCAGCATCAAATCAGCGTGCAAAGCACGCTGCCACTGGACTCTAGAGCAGTGGAGACACATTCTCTAGAATGACAAATCATGCTTCTCCATCTGGCAATCTGATGGACGAGTCTGGGTTTGGCGGTTGCCAGGAGAATGGTACTTGTCTCACTGCATTGTGCCAAGTATAAAGTTTGGTGGAGGGGGGGGATTATGGTGTGGGACTGTTTTTCAGGAGCTGGGCTTAGCCCCTTAATTCCAGTGAAAGGAACTCTGAATGCTTCAGCATACCAAGACATTTTGGACAATTCCATGCCCCCAACTTTGTGGGAGCAGCTTGGAGCTGGCCCCTTCCTCTTCCAATATGACTGTGCACCAGTGCACAAAGCAAGGTCCACAAAGACATGGACGACAGAGTCTGGTGTGGATGAACTTGACTGGTCTGCACAGAGTCCTGACCTCAACCCGACAGAACACCTTTGGGATGAATTAGAGCGTAGACTGAGAGCCAGGCTTTCTTGTCCAACATCAGTGTGTGATCTTGCAAATGCGCTTCTGGATGAATGTTCACAACTTCCCATGAACACACTCCTAAACCTTGTGGACAGCCTTCCCAGAGGAGTTGAAGCTGTTATAGCTGCAAAGGGTGGCCCGACGTCATATTGAACCCTATGGATTAGGAATGGGATGTCATGTACAGTAAGTTCATATGCGAGTAAAGGCAGGTGAGCGAATACTTTTGGCAATATAGTGTATTTCTTATCAGAGTTTATTACAAATGATCTTCCTTCTGGCCATAAAGCATTTACTCAAAAATGTTTCCTTGAAAGTCAGTTCTATGATGAAAATTAGCATGAAAGAATGCTATATTGGGACATATAAAGTAGGTAGGTCATGTTACACTGAGGACAAGCAACTTTTTTTAAACTGAAAAACCACATTCAGTCTTTTGGAATCATGCAAATAGAAAACCTAAATGCAATAAGCAATTCCCTATGGCCCACAGTGTTAAAAATAGTGGGTGGATCAAAAAAGAAGAACAAATTTTTACTCAGCATGTTCTTCTTTCATGATACCAACCCAATAGCTTGAGTGGTAACCAAAAACAACAGCAGTAGCAAATGTTGTTATTCGGGAACAAAATGTAGAGTGAAACTATGATGTAGTGATTAAGAGTGTTGGACTATGATTGGAAAGTTCGCAATGAAAAAATCATGGACTATGTGGATGACCTTGGGAGACAAGGGAAAAGATGTTGCCTACAAAACAGTCAGACAAGAGATATAATTTTAAATTATGGAAGTAACAGCAAGGAACAAAAAGGCTGATGCTGAAAATTGCTCTGAAATGATCATTTGTCAAGCCCCATTGCATAATTCTATATATTCAATTTTAAGATATTATTCAAAACAACCATAAGTTGTGTATACTTCAACATATAAACAGAATCATGAGAAAAAGAGTTTAGGCAACAGAAAGAAGTAATGGAAATGAATATGTAATTTCTTAACCACTG